ACCAGATCAATATTCCAGGAGTTTAATTGACTTGATGCTATACTCTGATTAAAAAGTGTTCCTTTAATTTTTTTGAGCAGTGTGGTTCTGAATGAACACTACTCCCAAAGCAGTCACATTCAGTTACACTTTTTAACTTTCTTATAACTTACTTTTAACTAACTCTTATTATGTATACATACCATGGATGTAAAAAGTGTACACACACCTTGAAACCAGATTTTTCAGATGGAAAAAATTTAGAGCAAGATAAATCACGTCAGAATTTTTTTCCACCTTCAGGCTTTGTTCACACAAAACAAGCAGAAACAAGATGGAAACTGACGCGCAGATTTCACGTGCAGAGATACCAGTTTACATCAGTTTTCATGCACGCTTCAAAGAGTTTTATTCACGTTGCACGTTCCTGCGCAGAAAAAATCTGCACGTGATTCTAGTATTGTGATTTGATCAGGGCACATAGAGAACAACTGATTTTGTTATGCCCTTGCAGAAAGTGTGCAGAAAAAATTACGTCTCTGCACCATGGTGTGAGCAAGCCCTTAATGTGATGTATAATCTGTACAAATAAATAAAAAAACAAACTGAAATTGTTGTTTAGAAAAAAAAAAAAGATATAAATAAAATAATGTGGTTGCGTAGGCGTACACACCCTCTTATAAATTAGGGATGTAGCTGTGTTCAGAATTAACCAAGCACATTCAAACTGATGCCAAGCAGTGATCAGTACGCACCTGCCATCAAATAAAAGTGACTCTGATTAGGCCCACATAAAGTTTGGCTATTCTAGTAGGATTTTTCTGACATTTACTTAGTTGCCTCTTTCACCAAAAGCCATGGTCTGCAAAGAGCTTACAAAGCATAAAATGGATAACATTGTTGGAAGTTATCAGTCAGGAGAAGGTACAAAACATTTCTAGGGCATTAGATATACAATGGGACACAGTGAAGACAATCATTACCAAGTGGAGAAAATGTGGCATAAACATGACATTACCAAGAACTGGAAGTTCCTCCAAAAATTAAAAAAAAAAAAACAAGAAGAAAACTGGTCTGGGAGGTGCCAAAAGGCCTACAGCAAAATAAAGAAGCTTCAGGAATTTCTGGCAAGTACTGGTTGTGTACTACATAGAAACATAGAAGAGTGATGGCTAAAAAAGGCCGACTGGTCCATCAAGTGTGCCCGTTAAACATGTGACAGCAACCTCCATTATTCTTAATATGTTTGGGCTGTGGATTAGGGTGGCAGAACAGAAGCCTTCTCTTACTGAGAAAAACATACAAGCCCAGTTACATTTTGCAAAAATCTACATTACGTCTGCCAAAAGCATTTGGGAAAATGCATTATGGTCTGATAAGACCAAGAATGAACTTTTGGACCATAATTCTATAAAGTATGTTTGGCGTAAAACCAAAACTGTGCATCCCCGAAAAACTACCATACCCACAATGAAACATGGTGCTGACGGTATTATGCTTTGGGGCTATTTTTCTTCTGCTAGATCTGGGGTTTTAGTCAAGGTGGAGGGATTTATGAATAGTTCCAAACATCAGTCAATTTCAGCAGAGAACCTTGAGGACTTTGCTAAAAAGCTGAAGAAGAGGAATTTCACCTTTCAGCATGACAACGACCCAAAGCATACTTCCAAATCAACAAAAGAATGGCTTCACCAGAAAATCAACGTTTTGGAATGGCCCAACTAGAGCCCAGACCTACATCTATTAGAATATCTAGGGGTGACTTAAAGATGGCTGTTCACAGCAGATGCCCTTACAATGTGACAAATGTGTACCACTTTTGCAAGGAAGAATGGGCAAAGATTCCCAAGGCGAGATGTGCCGTGCTGATAGACTCATACCCGGAAAGACTGAATGCTGTCATTAAATCAAAAAGTGCTTCAACAAAGTATTAGTTTCAGGGTGTGTATATTTGCAACTACATTACTGTTATGTTTTTTATTGAATTGGACATATTATAGGTCACATTAAAGGTGGAAAAAAATTCAGTGATTTATCTTGGTTTGATTTGTTTTTTTACAACTCAAAATCCCAGGGTGTGTAGAATTTTTATATCCTCTGTAGGTATGATTTTTCTGTGACATGGGGAAGAAGCGAAAGCCAAAGACTCATGGGCACCTCCTTGTATGTACATCAGACCAGCCATATTTTCTTATTACATATGCATGCTTTATTCCTGCTGACTCTTGCATTTTACTGATCTGTCTGGCTGAAAACTCTCTGTGGCATTTGCAGTGGCATTTTCAGAGCAATATCATAAATTGGCTGCAACAAGTGAGAGCAATGTCATACTTCAGCCACCTAAACATGAACATTTTTTCCAAAAAATTACTATCTGCAGAAAAATGGTATGCACAGCACACTGCTCTAAATGGTGAGTGTGGACAGATTGCTATAACAGTCGGAGGGTCTTAAAGGTTTAATAAAACTCTAACAGAATTGGTACAACACTTAGCGCAACCATTTTTAAAAACATGAAATTCTTCTAATACATGTGTCTACCTTAGGGCCCATTCACGCTAGTGCAATTCCTGTTCACGTGCAGTTCTGTGCAGTGTGATTTTAGTCCATTAATTTTGAAAGGGCTGAAATCACATTGTACCAAAAGTAGTCCATGCACTACTTTTTGAAACACCTTGCAAGAAGATCGCATGATACTTTTGTAAAATGCTATCCAGTGCATGCTGCTGCGGGCAACCACAGTGCATCTGGACTTGCATTTGGAGTGTCATTCACTTTGCACTGACCCCTGCTGCAGATTGCAAGGCCAGTGCGATTCAAATGCAATGCGGGAAAACGTGCGGGAACGCAGGTTTCCCACACTGCATTCTAGTGTGAATGGGCCCTTAAAGAAGAACTCCAAAAAACAGCTAGCAACCAACACCTGAGACAATAAACACTTAGGTCAGAAGTGTTGGTGGTCAGTGGCTGGCTGAAACAGCCATTCAATTTGGAATCCATATAAACATCCCCCAGTTAAAAACAAATTACAACACTGTGATTAAAGAACACTATGCTGCAGTCCTCACTCCAAATCTTCCCTTTGTAAGCAAGATTACTGCAGTGCTGGGATGAACAGTTCCACACAAAATTCTATCACTGGAACTTGACATATTCCAAAGATGGCATAGAGCTGGAAACCCCCTTATTTCCCAGTAAGTGAAGGTAATTATAGGTTCTGCCAGATTAATACAATTCCCATTCACAATATATTTCATATAACTGACCACCATTACTAATGGTAACAAAACATTAACTGGAAAGCATCCCCGGCTATTTGTAAAATTTTTGTATTGTTAGAGGATAGTCACGAATCCCAATATATAATCCAAGCACGTGCCTACACATGTATGACTCCTGTAAGCAGCAAAGTAAAGCTGGGCATGTATGTACAGTTTTTTTTTTTCTGTGGGTAGAATAAAAAAACTGACAGAACCCTACATCAACACAAGTGATGTTGATGCAGGGATCTCCCCTGCCATGCAACTGTATTCTGACAGGGCCTAATGGCTACAAGTGCTGATCGAATGCTAGTTTTGCAGCATGATAGACTCGCTTCTGTTGAACAGACAGTGGTACACACATATCAAAATTCAGCCGGTTCCGGCTGAACCAGTCAAATTTCAGTGTGTGTGTACTGGGCTTTACTGAAAAGTTATGTCAGTCTTTCAAAGCAACGCATGAGTGAACATTTTAGCAGCATGTTTAATAGACTCTCAGTGTTCAACTTCCATAATCCTAATGTTAAACCTGAACCTAAGGGGAACTCTAATGGTAGCCCTAATCCTAAAGGGAACACTAATGGTATCCCTAACCCTAAAAGGGAACTCCAATGGTAGCACTAGCCCTAAAGGTAACTTTAATAGTAGCCCTAACCTTAAAGGGAACTCTAATGGTAGCCCTAAGCCTAAAGGTAAGTGTAACACTAATCCTAGGGATAACCCTAGGTTTGCCCACGCAGGAGTTTCAACTTCACAAAGCAAACAACTGAAAAATGACAAGCCCTTGTCAGCAGCACCACTGTTCTTCTTGGTCTCCTTTCACTTTCCAGCAAACACAAAATGCCAAACTGCCTGTACATGCTTCTGCCTCGAGACACCCCATCTCACGGAACCCAGGCTCTGTGTCTTTATCATCATTTCTTTGGTTCTCTTACTTGCAACTTTGTTTTGCATAGATGCCCACTCTGACCTCTCAATAAGAGCTCACCTGGCTCCTGTGCTGAGACCTCAGAGCCTGAGGAGCAGAGCAGAGAGCCGGAGATTGGTATACTTATCAATTTGAGTTGTACAACATACTTATTTTGTTTAACTGAACTTGCAAAAAATGTAGCTTTTTCCTGGCCAGGAAAATGGCAGCCAACAATCCCAAACTGCAGTTCTGCATTGCAGTATCATATATTTGACACTCAGTTAATTTCCTACATCTGCAGGTCAGCTTAGTGGTGGCTGATTTAGAACTGCAATGATCCACTAATAACATAGCCATACCTCTGCTAGTGCTAGTTAGCTAGAGTCCACCTTTAAACATATCTACTGCTAAATCATCAGTTTCTGGCTTTCTAGGATTAAGTGTATTTTAAATAAATCCACCATATCGTTCTTATGTACTCTAAAATAAAATGGTGCCTTTTGTTTGTGCTGTAGCCCATAGCCCCCTCTAACATTAAAGAATAACGATAGAAATGTGTAATGCCACAACATACAAACGGATTTTATTCACTTGTGACCTTGCTGTGAACATGTTGCTCGGCAGCATAAAAGATATTTAATACAAAAGGCTTGTTGCAATCTGTTTTCAGGCAAGCATTGAAGGCTACACACAATGCACAGCACATACAATACACAGCAACGTACGGAACTGCTGCCCCTGAATAAAAACCCTAGTTCATGACTTTATAAAACTTTTAGAATGTGCAGAAGTTCACCTACAACTTTTAATGGAAGGAACGTATCTGGAAAGCTGACAGGTGTGATACTCACACAATGTGAGCCAGGTTTAGAGGCTTCTCCGGCTGATCGGGAAACATTGGGTGCAGAGGCTCGCGACTGGAAGCACAGCTTAAAGACTTGCTAAGTGCATTAGTAAGCTTCTTTGCTGGAGATTTCTGTAAAGAACAAAAAATAAAAAATAAAGGCATGTGGGGAACCATGGCGATGTCCTAAGAATACTTTCGTGCTCAATGGCGCCGGCAGGCACTCTTTGATTCCAGTGTGTGGCTTCCACTCGCATTTTGAACGCGTGTGCAATCAAGACCCTAGCTTTTGGGGTTTTTTGGTATTATATAATGTTCATCTTTAATAATTAACAAGATTACGATAAAGGTTTTCACTGTACAGTCTCAGTATGTTTTTTTCTTGTTTAAAAATAAATGGTCACCACAAATTCTGCTACCAGTGTATTAAAGGTGAGTCAGTGAGTGAGTGGGACCACTGGCGGGGAGCACAATTTATGAGTAGACACTTTAATAGGAAGAATAAGCACAGACACTATTAAGAGACTGCAGAGTTTGCACTAATTTTATGGACTATTGATGGTGTCACCATATAGATTTTTTGAGATTTTGAGTGTATTCTGGATATTTAAGGTAGCGCTCATCTACCTAAGTTTATATAATTTTGAGAGAGAAAACACCGAAAGTAGTAGCAGCAGCCATTATTTATTTATATGTATTTGGTGTTATTTATTTTATTACATTTTTTGAACAAGGGGATTTATAACATAATTTTCACTAATCCTAAGCGCAGGATATAAGCTTTTGTTTTGAAACCAATAATATGGTCAGCATTCACATTTGTCAACACAGTTAGACAAGCTCATTTAAAAGCTACCTTTAATACACTAGAAAACAACACTTTAACCTGCGCTTAGGTATAAAATTATTTGGTGACTGTGTGCACCAAGCAGTATTAGTATACCTCAATAAGTGACTCAAAAACAAACCAACCAAACATCAATAAAATAAATAAATAGATAAATGAATAAATCAAAAATACCTTGCACTCACATTAAACAGAACGATTCCAAGCATAAAATGCCAAACCGGAAGTGACGCACCACCGCCGTGCGCTCCACCAGTCGGATATGATGTCACCACGCCTCATACTGACGCATTTTTGTCCCTCCCCACTGGACGTCTTTAGAGGTACCTGAATGCGTCAGTTGTCGGCCGCAGTGACGTCATTTCTGGCTGGTGAAGTGCACATCAGTACATCACTTCCAGTTCGGCATTTTATGCTTGCTTGTTTTTATCAATACATGGAATTACACTATATGGCCCCCTACCTTTTCTTATTACACATGTGTATCCACATTGAGTGATTGCTGAGTTGGATGATCCTGTTGAATGAAAAGCATATTCGTACTGAGGTGGACTACAAGTACCAGCAGAACCGGGACCTTCTTAACAAGCTCAATAGACTCTTACTTAGCATTAAGAGTTCACTGGAGTTGGTGAATGAGTGGAACCACAGGCGGGGAGCATAGTTTATGGATTGACATAATACGAATAAGCATGGGCACTATTAAGAAACTGCACAGTTTGCACTAATTTTATGGACTATTGATGGTGTCACCATATTGATTTATTGAGACTGATTGTATTCTGGATACATAAGGCAGCGCTCATCTACCTATGTAAATATAATATATTACTGGTTTACACACTTGTAGTGAATTGTTCCCCATAAGATAAAAAAAAAATATTTTAAAGAACTTAAAATGATTATCGATAATAAAAGCAAACAAGAAAAGCGGTTATCAAAGAACTACTTCCAACAAAAATGGAAAATGTTTAGTATGTGAAGGAGATGTATATTAAAAAAATATGCATGTAAAAGTATTCAAATTAGACAATTGATAATTATATGAAAATACAACCCTTACTATGTTAGCTGCCAGATTTAGTGATAAGAAGGACAAAACTGACAACTGTCATTTTCCTTCTATGGTATTCCTGTACAACTTTTCAACTTGCTACTATCATATTGTCTTCTAAAATATTCCATTCGTAAAACCACATTCAGATATTTGGTGGCGCTAATAAGATTTTGAAAACATGGCGGTAACTTTACAATACCAAGCTTCCACTCTACTTTTCAACTGCTAAACAGCAATAAAACAACAAAAAAAGCAAAATGATCTAGTATCCCTACTACTGAATTTTAGCCTAAATCTTCAAGTACTACACATTTAGGCAAACTCAACAAAGAAGCAATGTGAAATACTCACTCTTAATCCATCTAACTGTACACAAACCTCAGCTGGTTGATAAATGATCAATTGTCGGAGTGATAATCTCCCCTCAACAAATACAGTATATAGAATGCCGGTTCCCCTATTTTTCTGGGTTAATCCCCTCCTGTGTGTCTCTTCTGTGGTGTAGTTCAGAATCCTGTGAGCCCTCTCTTACCCATGATGTGTACTCTTTCATTTGGTGCTGGTTGCTATGGGAACCACTGGCATGTCCCCTCCAAAAGCAATCCTGACAGAGCTGGTAATTGTGACACTGCTGGCAGCGATAACGGAAACCCATCATGCTCTCACTGTGGCAATAGGAACACTCAACTGGGTGGAAGACTAAGAAGAGAAAATAAATTGGATAGATATGTTAATAGGCATATTTGTCCTATTCGTATACACATATCACTCAAGTAAACAGTCATCAAGGACATTCTATAGGTCAGACCTTGCCATTGTCAGCTGATTAAAAAACTCTCCTCTATTTTGAAATCAGGATATTTTTTTTTGGTAGAAATCCTGCAAAGAATTCAACTTGTGTGCCTGTTGCTTTGCAGGAAGAAAAAATATAACACGAATTCTAGGTGCAGGCCCCTATGTTAGGCCTATATGCACTGTGCATGTGGAAACAGTGTTGTGCATTGTGAATGGTCCCACAGTCTTCTGGGACCTGTCGTGTGTCCCGGATGACTTCAGGGGAGGGGAGAGGAGACCTTCCACTTCCAACTGCGTAGGCGGCCGTGGTGAATACCTGTCAAAATCGAGTACCCGTTCTTGTCCCCTGCTCCCCAAAGGCGCCAATCCTTAATGGTCTAGGAGTCCTTAAAGTGAAACTTCCCTATTTGGCTGGAGCTTCTGCTTTAAGCTTTAAGCATTTGTTCTCTTTTGGTTTGTTAAATATACCATTGAAAGCGATTTATTATATATTTTTGTAAAGTATAAAAAAAAAGCTGTTCACCAGGCCAGAAATCTTGTGAGGTAATAATCTCCTGTATCTTATTCCTCTGGACTGTTAGCAGTTAGAATTCTTCCCTGCTATGTCAGTGGACTACAAATTACCTTCCCAAGTTATGGAGAAGAGAGGAAGATGCTATGTAGTTCTAACTGACTGTTATGTAGTCCCAATACACTCCTGGTCCTACGGTGACAACACTGCTTAGTACACTAGGTCAATTAAGTGACTTAACAGAAGGACTACCAGGTTAAAATTAAGGAAAAAGTTTTGAAAAAAGAAGTCTAATGCAGCCATTACATCTAAGAACCGGTATCCTGCAATGCTTTCAATTTTTGTTCTTAGGTTTAGAAATACTTTATGAACCAACTGCATTTCAGTTGACTGAAGTCAGAGCAGAATAACAGGAGTACCTTGGCGCAAGATGCCCTAATTACGGCACTTGCGCCTATAGGTCATGACTGTTCTTAAGGCAATGTCACACCAATTGCTTCATTTGTTTGTTTCTTTATCACTCTAAAGGCACTCACACAAAAAAATAAATAAGGTATTCTGATGAACTGGGTTGCTGAGAGTAAAACAATGCCCACTAAATAGATTGCATTTAGCAGAATACTTGTTTTAACAGTGGTGAGCCTTTCCATAGCATACGCACCTATACACAAAATTAAAAAGAACTACATTATGACCTTATTTTGAGCCAAGTAATCAACACATGTGAGTAACACATTTAAGTTTGTCATACCTGAATTTATAACAAACAGAATGAGATGCTTAAAACTGTATCTGGGAAGCAAAAAATTATGGTTTACAAAATTTTCAGAAGAAATTTAAAGATAAACTCCAGCTTCGAAGATATTAAAATAATTAGCCTAGTAAAAGTCAAAATCAAAAATCAGCTTTTGCTGCAAAATTCACCTTTAACCTGGAGCAGCAGCAATTTTATTTACACATTTAATGTTGGAAATCTTCAGAGCTGAATAAGTATCAATCACCCACTTCCTTTGAGCTTAAGCTATCATAGATCCGTCTCCTGTGTCACATAGCTTGAGTTCACAGTATTGCTGCACTGATCAGTGCTTACACATCATTGCGTGACAGTCAGTGCAATGGATGAAAAGACAAGGACCTGTGAAGTTATCGAGGGAGGAGATCCCTAGCACAAAAAACATGTTGGGATGACCTCAGGGAGGAAGGAGGGTGTGAGTGTTGACCCTTTTTTTAACCTAGACTCCTGCTGTAAGAAAATGTGTTTTAAAAAAAAAACAAACATTATTGTAAAGCTTTTCCCATCTGATAATAATAATAATAAAAAAAATAAATAAATAAAAAGGTATGGTGTAAAAAAAAAAAGAAAGTTCAAACCACTGTCCAGAAAATCAGTATCAATTGTGTGATAACATGCTAAGCAGTTACAAAATTTGGAAAACAATGGAAAAATTTGCTGCTCGTTCAGTTGTTACTTACCATTTTCTACATTCGCCAGTCGATGCAGGAGAGGTAACCAGACAAGACACTGAGGTGGTGGGTCAGACATAAGTGTATCCAAGAAAGAATTCAAGGTAACTTTTTTCTGTTAAGAGGTAAAAAAAATGTCTTGTAACAGTTACCGTAGTTACAATTTTAAGAGTTAAAAAAAGCCTTTTAGTACAGTTATACTTTAACTGTTCTCCTTTCCCACCCAGCATCCTCCCAAAGTCCTATACTCATTAGTCCTCACTCTTGCCAGATCTTTATTGTGTTACACAAGTGCCAGGTAGCTTATCCATTTATGTGCAGAAGCAGCTATCCATCCAGGAGATTTTGCAGTGGTGACTGTGTTGCTCCCAGGGGGTCACACAAACAAGGACAGGTGAGTATAAGTTTTTTGTAGAGAATTAATCTGGGTAAAGAGAATTACTTACAAGATACGTTCACCTTTTAACAAAAAAAGAAAAAAAAACGCACATTTTTTAGAGGTCTGTTCGTAACATGTTACATCCCGAATATAGGTGTAACTTGTAAGGTGAATTTATTCTTTAAAGGATTATGTAAACTTAAGTTTTCCTATTACTACTATTTTTTCCTTCAGCCAGAGGGGAAAAAAACCAAAAAAAAAAAACAGTTTTTGTCCATTCACAAAAATGAGGTAGATGGAGGAATCCCCCTTGCTGAGATCTATGGCCAGTTTAAGTAAAAATCTATTTTATCAGTAGCAACTAGATGCAAATTATAATTTTTCTATCCCAGATTAAGAAACAAAGGTAAGGATTATACTGGGTTCTCAAACCAAATCATACAGTATACCTTCATGAGAGTGAAAGTAATGATGTATGCCCATGATAAAAAACAGAATATATAATAAATCAACAAAGCCAGTAAAGAACAATCTATTAAACACATTGAATCTCTACAGAATGTCATACTTCTGAATGAGGCAAGGTTTATAGTTCTAACACCATCCTGGAATTAAAATGTGACAATTAATATTTACTTCCATATAAGAATAGAGATATTTATTACTCCTGCATCGCATGTAGTGACAAATTACACAATTATCTTTCCTTTCATATCTTTGCACATCTGTACACCTAAAGGCACACCAAATGGCCCTAAAGGACAAAAAATGCTAATCGACATACAAGTTAGCTTTCTTTGTTTAAGCATGAAAGGCGCAACTCACTAAGCTATCACAACTGCCTGTATACAACTGTTGTTTTTAGCAATGAGAGTCAATGACAATGACAACATTCACATGACTGAAGAGAACTATTGTTATAGCAAATAACACGTTATAGAATATTTAATTTTAGCCTAAAGCCTTTTAACTATTTTAATGAAACATATAAATTATTAAAAGAAGTTACAATTGTTTCACTGAAAACCTTCCCTGTAGCAATGCCTGTTAGGATATCATAGGACTCTTATTATATACAGTACATAAGACTCCTATATAGGAGTTTAAGCATTCCCATTCTAAATAAACATCTACATTTGTGTAAGGCTAATAAAATTTTACATATACATTTGCTTTCTTTAAAGGTATGTTGCAAAGGCCTTATAGCATTTCAAAAGCCAAAACATTTTTTTACTTTTTATTAGAGTGGGTAATGGTTAAAATCCCTATCAGACTTTTTTTTGTTTGAAGTTCAAATTGAGAGATTTCCCTTTGCTTCCTGTTTTGTCTCTACAAAGCGAGAACAACTCTACTCTCAGACTCAGACTCTTGTCATCTAAAATGTGTCTCATTAGGTAAATTCATCCTCAACTTCATTTCTGGTGACAACTGTAAAAATTTGGACTTTGCATTACTTTCTGTCCCGGGGACCATATTCAGCAGGGCAAATGGTGATGCTGTATCTTCCAAGCAGGGCCCAGACACCAATAGGAACCTAAACAAGGTTCTAATCTTTCCCCATCCTCCATCCAAAACAAAATAAAAAGGTTTTGGCTTTATATACACTTGATTCTGTACCTTAGTTCAATCAAATAATCTTTACTTTAAGCAAAATTCAAGCCAGAACTTTGTTTTGGATAGAGTGAAGATGGGTTAGAGAACAGGGTGCAACCTGTCCAGGAATCACCCAGGCAGTCCGGGTTTTAGATCATGTGAAACCTGGACACATTATTCAGACCGGACTGTGGCACCCCAAGTAACCGAGTACCACAACCAAGGACTCTGATAAAGCAGTGTAGCCGGCCCTCCCTTACCAGGCCTGGGCACCATCAGTTCAAAAGGGAGCACAAAGGAAGGCTGCACTGCCTTATTGCTCCTATTGCAGTTCCCCCTGCAGTGCTGGTGGCTTCTCCTCCTCTCCCCAGCTGCACTGCAGGGTAATCCATTCATGTATCTGTGCCCCCACCTCCCTACTGTGTGAGCCCCGCTGTGTGCCCCCCACCCTCCTAGAGAGCTTCTTGCTTTCCTCATTCCTGCTGGCAGCTGCCAGATGTATTTACTGGCCTTTTTTTCCTGAATGAATACAGTGAGATCAGTACTGATCACTCCTGTGTCTATTCATTACTGAAGCATAGTAAGAGGTGTTTTACTATGCTTCAGTTTGTGAATGAACTAGAAGTTGCTCAGCACAGAGCACTGTCCGGTATAGCTGAGGCTGCAGAGAAAAATTCAGGAATTTATATCTCAATTTCCTTTCTCTGTCTCAAAAGTCAGACATTAGGGGTCTGTTTAGACCCCCTGATATTTTAACCAAGCCCCCCCCCCCCCCAGTTAAGTAAAAAAAAAAGATTCTACAAAAAAAAAAAAAGTAAAAAGAAATTCTACAAAATAAAGAAAAATTAAGGGTTCATTCACATGTGCTTTGCTCTCTGATGAGTGGTCAGTATTTGGATCACTCTTCAGAGATCGTTTTAGAGGTGGTGAGGTGGTATAATGCCTCCCCATCGTCGTCTGCTTTGACCCCGCACTAACACATCACAACACTTTGATCCTTACTCTGACCCTAACACTAACCCTGGAACTGACCTAGATCAAACCTCGCTATTTTTTTTTTCATTATTATATGCAGCCTCATGGATAAAGACTCACTTCTCTGGGGCAGCATATCTGCATACTGTCTGCAGAAAGGGGTTAATCTCTCTATGTAATGTGCACCAAAAGTCAATAGTGATCTTCCACTTATAGATTTGTGAATGACTAATCGAAAACCACCTCATGACCTATTTGTTAATCTGCTCACCTTGGAACTAACTTCAGATTTGTAAAAGATCAAAACAGGCAATATATGATATGGACAGAATGTAGCTTCATGCCTCTGCCCTTAACTGAAACTGGGATTTTGCCAAATTATTTCCTCCCAGCCCATTCACAGGTTATTTGAATAAACTCCTCAAATGCCCCTCAAACGCCCCGTCTACCATTTTCAGTTTAAGACATTTTATTAAACATTACCAAACCATCAAATCTCCTCACATAAAACTATAGAGCGGCAGAATGTAACATCATACGCATTCACTTCCATAAAAGATAACTACTGCTCGCTCACCACAGCCGAGCAAGGAGGGTGTGATGACGTCACTCTGTAAACTCTGACCTTATTCATTGCGTCCCTGGGTGGGGACTTCAGCATACTTTAGGTGCACATTTCTTTATGAACTTTGACATTTTTTATATCATTATTTATTAAAGAATAGATTTGTTAGTGCTGTACATAGTTTATTGTTTATTAAACTGCTCAGTTTAATCTTATACAATAACAATGTTATTTACTGTACCTGCTGTGAGAAACAAGATTTCGCAGATTGCTCTGTATAACCAAATGAAGGACCTTCAAACACAGCAGTTGGCAGTTTGAGCACCTCCCTAAGAAACAGGTCATATTTTCCATAAACCATTACCCCACTTGAGTCCGAGATCAAGGAGAAAATATCTGGAAGAGGATTAAACAGAACATAAATTAGTTTGTATGCTAGGCATAATGTAAGATCATTCATCAGAATGAATAACAGTAGGAAGTAGTATCGCACCACAAAATGACAAAAATAAAATAATTAAATGGAATCAAAGTGAGAATCATTCTTGTATGTCACTGACACAATCAATGTAGTGATAAACAATCAGAGTTGCTAGGCTGTATTTGTTGCCCCCCCCCACCCCCGTGGGGGCCCAAAGCAACTGTTCTTTGCTGTCCCTCATCTACCCCAGTCAACTGGCTAGCCAACAGTACAAGACACCACAGCTACACAAGGCATATAAGCTGAAAAAGGCAGTTTTCCCACTTGGCACCAGTACACTAAGACTAGAAGAACACATTTCAAATATTGTTTATTATATTCATATTGTATCCCTTGCAGCTTGTGAATAGCAGTCTCTGGGCTAAAGCTTCATGTCTAGTCAGTCAGTAGCCTGAATAGCTTATACTGTGAATAGAGCTGAATAGCAGGAGATGAGATAACACACACATGAATGACTCAGAGAGGGGACATAAACCCTTCCCCCTTCTTGCAGGAATAGAACCATTTTTGGATTAGTAAAGCTGGCCATAGGTAGATAGATAGATAGATAGATAAATAGATAGATACATAGATAGATAGATAGATAGATAGATAGAGAAATAGAGATAGAGAGAGAGAGACTGATTAAAAAAAAAACGCATTCCCCCATCTACATACAGTAAGTAGAGGTGGACAAAGGAATCCTCCCCACCGTACTATTGAATTCCAACACATTCTATTCTCCGCTGCCACAATACATTGATCAGAGCTGCAGCATCAAATGAAAATTCTCCAACATTCCCGTTCAAGAGAGATCAAATAGCCATAGATGGGTCGAAATTCGGCCAGATTTTCAGGCCATCTATGGCCGTCTTAAATTATACAAAAGCTGCTTACAAGAAAACAGGTATTGTTGGGCATTCAAATAAAAAATCAATGAATGCTTTGCAAATACAAATACACTTGGAGATATTTGATGGCTGCAGCTTCTGTCCTTCTGAAAATGCTAATTCCTTGGTGGTCATGATGATCTAATGGTTTCAATACTTTGCGAATCGCTAATCTAGAACAAACATGAAGATGAAGGCTTCACTCTTCAAATGCTTGCTCCGTGTCAGTGAAAGTACATTGGTATAAATGTAGATCATGGCACACATTCCCAGGGAGGACAGGAACTGGATGGAGGTTTCTCAAAAGGAATCTGTGCAGTGCTGATCAGGTCGCACAGTGAAGATCTGAGTATGTAACTTGTCAGTGGCAACAGGGGAAGGTGTCAGAGCTCTCCAAATTTCAAGTAGAACTATAGGCAAATTTTTTTTTTCATTTCGGATAGAACAAGGGAGGGTTATAACCTCCGTCAGATTTTTTTCTCTTACCCAACGATGTACCATTATGGAGATTTCCCTTTGCTTCCTGTCCCATAGCCAAATAGTTGATGAGAAGAAATCGCTGCAATTTAGGATAATTCCTTGGGGACCTCCAGGTCTTCAGAACTAGTGTCCCAACTGGAAGATTTCCCCTCTATTACTTTTCTAGGGACAACCCAAAATGTGGGCTTTTCTTTTACTTTCACTTTTAATGATAATGGTAAACAGGACAAATAGAGAGGGTTAATCTGCTTAATGGGGGCACAGACAGCAATAAAAACTGAATGATAATCCTTCAACACTCTAGTGTTTTGCTTTTAGTTATATTTAAGTACCTACATCTCAGTGTATAGAATGGCATCACTATAGTGTATAAAGGTTACCAAACTGCACCGAACAAAGTGAATAATTATTAGATTACTACCTTCAACATGGTGGTTTGCCACAGAAATGTAATTGTGTATACTACTGTACATATTGTATTAAAAAAAAAACATAAAAAAAAACTTGAAACATAATGTTATACTCACATCTAAGCTTGTCCATTATTTTCCCTCCACACAGTGTGGCCAAAACCATTTTGACAGCAAAGACTGTTATTTTACCATGTCCTTCTCTATGGATTACAAATCAATGGAATATTCAGTTATGCTGATAAACAATTGTATTCATGGAAAATACCAAAAAGACAGTTCTGTAATGTTAATAAAGCATAATTTTCTGATTATTTCAGCTAAATAAAGTGACTACATATGCTAATGATTTACATTACGTCTTTTTTGATATGCTGATCTTGAGTCTTAGTAGCTATGCCAGACAACATTGCACGTGAAAATGCACCATAACTGTTTTATATAAAATTCTTTTGGGAGGCCTTTTTTTAATCACTTTGGCAAATGGTTCTACTTGTACATGGGAACAAGGATTTTTTTATAGGGGGAAACAAAGAATCATTCGTACTACATTCCATTCACTTATCATTTCTTGAAAAATGTTTTGACATGACCAATGCAGAAAAGGTAAAAAAAATAAGGGGGGAGTTATCTGGCAATGATTTCACCTCTGGGGTCCAATAGTGTTTTCCAAAACACCTGGAAGAAAACGCTCATCTAGGATCCTACAGTAGTCAATGAACTCTGCTGAAGGGGAAATAAGTCAATCTGAGTTCCAACCCACCCATTCAACAGACTGCATTTGACCAAATGCCTAGGTAAAGCTCAATTTATCACTTTAGGTCCACCATGAGGGCAGTAGACACCACCATAATAAAGTGTAACTAATGTAAGCAAGCATGCATGTTTGACAGGCTAATGTGTACATTAAAAAAAAAACCCACAGGTGCAATACAAACACTTGAAAACACACTTACGGATCATAAGCAGCCAACAGAAAATTTAACAACAGGCTGATGGACTGTTCCACGTTGATCTGGTGAGTGGTTGGCATTCTCTTATTGAGCTGGTAAAATACCGTTGATAACACAGCCTCCAATCGTGCCACATTCAGCTCAACGTTGGGGTCAAGGTTGTTTAATGAGTTTTCCCGAAGGGCTTCTATAACATTCCATATATCTACTAGGTGCACTGTGTGGAAACAGACACAGCAAGTCAGACAAGCAATAGTCCTACATTCAACATTATATACTTTTGATTGGCTGCCATTATTTCTTGCCATTGTTATTAATCTAAGAAAAGGGCAAACAATTTCACAATGCTAGCAATTACTGCGACAGTAATATATTACTGCATGCAATTTCTACTCCAGAAGGCCGCACAGCTTGCTCTATAGAATTTACAGCATAAAATGTCTCATTATGTGGAAACTTCCCATTCTAGTTATAGCAGTTACCAGACTCCTGCAATTGTGCTAAGTCAGTAAGAGATTTGCACTTATGAGACCGAATAGAATAAGGGCCAAATGACAGACAAATTCTAGCCTCAATGAGAGCACTTAAAGTTTTATGAACAGCTCTGTCTAGTTGGGGAAAAATTGAAACATTCTTTCTGCTGACACTGATGTGAAAGCGGAACTATGGGCAAAATAAAAAAAAAAAACATATGTGATTCATGATATCTACCATTAAAGTGGAACTAAAGTGTAAAACTCAAAAACTGCAAGCAAGAAGGAACTTTTTTGGAGAAGAGACATGCATTATCTCTTCTGCAATAAGACAAAAACTTACTTGCCTGTTCACAATCTTATTTAGAAGGTACAATGAGCCAGGACGACTAAACTCCTGCTCTTGCGCATGTCTGAACTCCTGCAATGGTCACTTTTGCTGGATAGCTTGGTACACAGCTATTCAATAGGAATTTATATATGGAATACTCTCATTAAAGGTGAGAAAAGAGAAGTTCGAGATTAAAGAAAAAAACAATTATACTCACCTAGGTAGATGCAGCATCTGTCCCACCCCTGCCTCTACACTGAGATGAGTGATCAAAGACCGCTGATAGCTCAGTTCTTGGTCTTCACTGAGAAGGCAATAGTGAGTGTTTCTGGTTCTCTGCTCTGCCCCTTCAGTGAGCGCTGGGTTTTGGAGGGGATGGGAACAGCTGGCTAGGGCTGGGCCAGTGGCCGGTCCAGCCATTAAAGTTGTGATCTCTCCTGAGCCTGGACCTGCTTATTAGTATCAGCTGACACTGCATCACAGGAGTGCAGAACGGAGGTGCATCCTGTCACCCACAGGAGAAGTAGAGCCAAAACAGCTTTGGCTCTGCTTCTCTTTTAACCAAAATATAGCTGTCTAGTTATACAAGCCCATATCTTTTATTTTTTATTTTCTTTATTTATTCAACAGAATAGTTGGGGACAGACAAGAAGCAAAAATACAGGCATCGCGAGATCTGAACTGCAAATCCATACATCTAAAATAGTATAATGTGTGGATACACTAGCATAATAAATTTCATAATATAACATTTGGATTCCACTTTTTCTGTATATAGAGCTCTGCTTGTGATGTCTAAAAGGGACATTCCTTGACTTCAGCCAAACGTTTTAAAAATGTTATATTTTGTTACATTTTATTATATTGGGAATTATTCAGCTACATCATTCGTCTGGATGACCTTGTGGCCCAAAACCTTGCCTTTTAATATTGTGCACTTTTTGTTTTTTTTTGTGTAGGCAGTAGCACAAGGCCATCTAGCTATTAATCCAAACACTGGAGAATAGATTCTCAGATAGCCATACAACAGAAGTGGAAGACCCTTTATACAGTCTAAACCAGCAATGGGCAAACTACGGCCCGGCGGACCTTTTAATCCGGCCCGCGGAGCGTGATACATTGGCTGTCAGGATGTGTGTAGGCGGGGCAGCGTGACGAACGTGAGGGGAGCTAGGCTCCTCTCACAGTCCGCCCTGAAGACCGGAACGGCGCGGGAACACGACGAGAGGAACGCGCGGAGCAAAGGTAAGTAAATTGACACAGGGGGGACTCGGCTTACTACTTGGGGGGAGAATAGTACTATGGGGGATGAAATACTATATGAGGGATGAATTAATATGGGGGATGAATTAATATGGGGAATGAATTACTATAGGGGGGATGAATTACTATAGGGGGGGTGAATTACTATATGGGGGATGAATTACTATGGGGGATGAATTACTATGGGGGATGAATTACTATATGGGGGATGAATTACTATATGGGGGATGAATTACTATATGGGGGATGAATTACTATGGGGGATGAATTACTATATGGGGGATGAATTACTATATGGGGGATGAATTACCCATGGGGGATGAATTACTATATGGGGGATGAATTACTATATGGGGGATGAATTACTATGGGGGATGAATTACTATAGGGGGGGTGAATTACTATATGGGGGATGAATTACTATGGGGGATGAATTACTATAGGGGGGGTGAATTACTATATGGGGGATGAATTACTATGGGGGATGAATTACTATGGGGGATGAATTACTATATGGGGGATGAATTACTATATGGGGGATGAATTACTATGGGGGATGAATTACTATATGGGGGATTAATTACTATGCTTACTATGGGGGAATATTACTATACTTACTATGGATGACACATACACATCATTCATCTACTCTTGGTCTGGCCCCCGGGTCCAATATATGAACCCATTGCGGCCCTCAAGTCAAAAAGTTTGCCCACCCCTGGTCTAAACATAGGTTTCCTATTGACAACTATAAAGCACAAAATCTATAATATGAAATCATTTTGATGCCCCATGAATTAAATGCTAATACAGTTGACTGTATTAGCCATTCTATAAAACTGGCACTCAGTTGGCATAGTTTAGCTCTTAATAAGGCTGTTGTGAGAGAAATATAGTGGCTGCCATTACTGCTCTCTTGCTGTCAATGCTGTTTTACCTGGCAGCTACATTACCCACTCCACAGGTTGACAATGCTGCTGTCCAAAGGATGCTATGCTGCTCCTCTGTAGATACAGTGGAGGTATGAGTGTAGCCACCCTAGGACAGGAAGTGATTTTTATACTTCGGCAATTTCCTTGTGGCCACATTTGTACAGGCACAGTAGCCCATTCATCTGAATGGGCTGCTGTACCTGTAGAGGCCCAGGGAAAAGGTCCCAGCGCCCCATCTAAAATAGTAGCCACAGGGAAACCGCAAATTGCTATGCTTTCCCAGCACAGAAAACTGCACTGCAGTTTCCAATGTGCAGGAGTGCAATTACGAATTACTGGAACCCCTATATGTCTGCTAACAGCAGCATTTTTGTGGGTACGGAAAAGTGTGCAATTTACACATAGTTCTGAACCTGTATAAGTGTGAACCTAGCCTGAAAATTCACAAGCTACAATATACTAAATGTTTATTCTTGGTTTAGATACAATTTAAGGCAGTACTATAGCAAACAGATTCTGATACCTAAAGAGCAAAAGTTCAACATTCTATTAACACATACATGTATTTTCAAAAACAGGAGGTATGTATAAACTAGTCAATGTTTAAAGCCAACCACAAAACCTTAAACTTTTACCTTTTTGGAGACTCAAATGTAGGAGCCAAGGAAATTAAGTGAAATATAGAGATACAAATAATATTTAAAATATTTATCGTCAGTTTAGACATGCATCCAAAAACATCTAAATTGTTAAAATGGTGTGTTACAGAAGTGATTCTAGTTGGACTTTCAACCTATGCAATACCAAGCTTTATGCACATGACCATACAGGAGCCGTAAAATGCACATAGCTTGTGCAATGACATTCTGGGGTTGTGTAAAGCATCTGTATGTGCACTGACATATGCTCTTAATGCATACTACCTTGGATCAGAGCATAAGTCTGTGCGCAAGTGGATGCTTTACACAAATTCCTGCTAGTGTACAGCTGCCTGTTCAAATGCACCTCAATGGGGGGCTGTATATGGGGTTGTGGGTCTCAGAAGTGTAATTACACAGGCTCTGCACCCTGTATGGCCCCTGTATGACAATGTGCATGAAGCCTTAAAAAGTTCTATTTAGACAGCAGTAAATGTAAGACTATAAAGCTCAGAAGCACCAAGTAAAAAAACAAATCTAAGAATGTATTTATTTTTTATTTATTTTTTTTATATTATTATTTTTTTTTATATCTTATTCACATGTATTTTTAGTAGCTATTCTGTTTATCTACATTTTTATATGTATCATTTTTCCTCCAGCCCTGATGAAGGGGGATTGTGTGACACCTGAAATGCGTTGACTGCCGTTTGCCCTGCCTGGTGTAACCAGTTGAACAATAAAGACTTTGGACATTGGCATTTCTCTTTGACCTATTACACAAAATGTATTTATATCACAGTTGTGATTTCATGTATATTCTTTACAGACAGTGGAGCTATAATTTAATGAGTAGTTTCTAAACGTCAAAAGAATGTGAAAGATTTCAGTATGGACAAATAAAATAGATATTTCTGTGGCATTGACTTTACTTCCATCAAAACTAAAGAACGAACAATAACTAGATAATGTGAATACCTTTTTTTGCCAACGGGATACCTTTACTGGATGCTGTGTTCTAAAGACAATGTACACACTTCCCACTTTATAGTAGCAGCTGCATACTATAGAATAAAGAGGTCATGGGCTAATTATCCAATTTGACAAAATGCATTGCAGGAAGCTCATTACAGATAGAAACATAAAAAACCCAGCATATATTTCCATTCTGCTAGTCTGTGTGGGCAACACATTACATTTCAACACAGACACTTGGACCAGCATCAGCTGGAAACCACAACTGAAGCCCAAGATAACAGCTGCCATAGTCCTAATTAATTACCCCCTATGTGTGTCTCTTCAGCCCCTCCCCCTCTCAAAGTAAAGCTGTGTGACCATAGTAGTCTACATTTTCAGGTTGTTGATATTGTTATTATTAGTAGTACTTTATTAAAATTAACAAATTGCAAATGTGAACATAATTGTTAGAATGAAAACTAGCCAAAGAACATGTATTAAACTGATTTTGTTCGTCAAATTCAGCCCTATAACTGGCAACTGTTAATGATATGCTGCTAAATATAAAAATATATGGGTAACTCTTATTAGCAGATGTGTCAGCCAGTACGAGACCAAAACAA